ATCGGGCATTGGCCAGAGGTGCTAGAGAACGAAACGCAAGTCCGCCAGTTCCTCGGCACCATAAATTACTGTAGCATGTTCATGGGACCGAACTATGCAGACGTTGCCCGGCCGCTGGTTGATCATACGCGTAAAAACGTCAGTTTCAAATGGACAGAGCTTCACACGCAAGCGGTGCGGCAGCTCAAACAGCGCTTAATCGACTTCACTACATTACAAGTCCCTGACATCACGAAACCCTTCGAGTTATACACAAATGCTTCTGGTTATGCGATCGGAGCAGTTCTGTAACAAGACGGCAAACCCATCGGCTTCCTCAGCAAAGTCATGAACCCCACGCAACAGAGATACTCGATCTGCGATCAGGAACTCTTGGCGTTGGTCATGGCACTTGACAAGTTGTCGCACTTGCTCCGTGTTTCCAAGGTAACGGTTTACACTGATCATCAAGCTCTCACCCATCTCCAACGAGTCCAAGCATCGAAGCCTCTGCGCGGACGCATCGCCCAGTGGCTAGACTTTTCTGCGGAGTTCCCGGATTTGCACATCACTTATGTTCAAGGAGGGCACAATCAAGGTGCTGATGCCTTGTTTCGCCGTCCGGGTCTTCCGAACACCTCCTTGCACGACACACCATCAGCAGGACTAATGCTAGCAATAGGACAAGTGAGAGCAGCTCCCCGCTCTCGTGGTCGGCCTGCCTACAGGGAGCTCCCCGGAGACCTAGACGACGCAGCCTGCCGTCCGCACCTTCACCTGCGCAGCCGGAACCCAAACCAGAGGCGGAACATCCTACACTCACAACGAAGGCACCAGCTAACCCTCGTGATGTGCGCCAATGGCCGCGAGCTTACTCGAAGTGTTCCGTTTTTCGCGTTCCCTACAAGGCCGCAGCAAACCAACCAGGGGATGCTCTGCAAATCGAGTTTTGTAATCGCCAATTCACCTTTCGCTACGTGCACCCTTGCCCGCACATCCGCGTTCATGGACTGTGCCGCATCTGCGTCCCCACAATTCCCTGAGTTCCTTACTGAAGTTCTGCATTCACATCACGACCATGTCACAGCCGGCCATTGAGGCCAGAAGAAGACGTTTGCGGCTTTCAGCAAGCAATACTACTGGCCAGGAATGCGCGCCTACACTACTGCTTACGTTGAATCATGCACTCACTGTCGAGCGCCAAACTCCCTTAACCAGAAGCCTGCAGGCCTTCTTCAACAGTTGCTCATCCCTTCACGTCGATGGGCGCACGTGAGTCTCGACTTTATCACAGATCTTCCCCTTACAACGACAGGGCACGACTCGATTCTTGTCATGGTCGAGTCCCTCAGCAAGATGGCTGATTTCGTTCGTGCAAAGAAGTCATTCACAGCAGCAGACACCGTGGAGCTTCTCGCAGACCGTCTTATCCGCTATCACAGTTTTCCACAGGTGCTCATATCGGACCGCGACCCCCGTTTCCAGTCAGATCTTTGGAACCAACTCTGTCACCGCTTTAACATCAAACGGTGCATGTCGTCGTCCTACCATCTCCAAAGCGACGGCCAAACTGAACGGGTTAACCGCACACTGGAGCAGATGCTTCGTACCTATATCAAATCTGACGAATGGGAGTGAGAACGTTTGCTTCCGGCCTTGGAACCTGCCCAGAACACAACAAGTCATTCATCCAGTGAGCTCTCTCCTTTCGAGGTCATGATTGGCGAGAACCCGTTGACTGTTGCGGACCTTGATATCGTGGGCGCGTTAGCTCCCACGCTCACTCTTCCGATGAATAAGCTTTTCCAGCAGCTCTGCGACGGAGCACAGAGTCACATCCTGACGGCAAAATGGCAGCAGAAGTACTACGCAGTCACACAGCGTCGAGCAGTGGAGTATGCAGTGGGCAAGCACCTACCGCCTTTCAACAGCTGCCCTAAGTTTGAGCCGCGTTACAGCAGGCCCTTTTAAGTCATCAAACGCATAGGAACTGTCGCTTACTGCCTCGCTCTGCCTCCCACCTGTGAATGGCATAACGTTTTCCACGTTTCGCAGCTAGTTCCCCACAGCCCTCGCACTCCCGCTTTGGTTTTCCCAGCAGCCGACGCCGCCTGGCCCCCTATCGGCGATGCAGCAGGCAATCCCACAGAGAAATACGAAGTCGACTATATTATGGACCAACGCGGCTCGGAAGATGCCGCTCAGTATCTCGTGAAGTGGCGCGGGATCCCTGAAGATCAAACCACATGGGAGCCAGCTCACCACCTTACAGGCTGCCCAGCTTTCCTTCGCGCTTGGCGCCGCCTCCAACGAAGACGTCTTCAGGCTTGAAACAACATTGGTCCTTTCGAGGCGTAGCGGTGTGAGTTCGTCACATTCCACCGCCTGCACGACGGGCACCCTTCAATGAGGAGGGGGGAGGGAGCGCTGCGCATCGTAAGCGCTCACGGTGTTAGCTTCAGAGGAGCATAGAGACAGAAAATTCGAAAATACTGTATTTTGGTTAGACATGTTCAATCCGGCAAGGGGGTAAGTTGTAGTTGACGGGCACTACAATAGGGTTTGCTGGTGACCTATAGAAGATAGCTAGATAGCAAGCTGCAAGAGGTTGTAACAGTGGAGGAGGACAGGACGCTCTTACTAAGATCAAAGTAAGCCAATTTGTCTCCGCATTAACATGCACACACTAGAGGTGCCTGTAAATGCGTGTAGACTGGGGCTGGCGATTGCGCCGGCACCAGTGGAGGCCTCCTCCCCACAGGGCCTAGGAGGCGAGCTCCCCGAGTGGGCCGGATTGGACGATAACAGATTTTGGAAACTTAAGAATAACTCTATTTCGATATATAGGCTACTGTTTCAAGGAAATGGGCCAACGTTGGGTGCCGATCACAGGCCCTGCTCGAGGGGGCACGTGGCAGCGTAGTCGCAGCAGTAGGCGCTGTGCACTACAAAATCGTCAAATCCCGTCATAAGCCGATCAATGCGTAGTTGTTCACCTGTAGGTTCTGCTCTTCTGGAAGTCTCCGCACCTTCATCTTCAGTCGTTCGACTGTGTTTGGACTAATGAAACTTCTCGAAGCCCCAATGTCCAAGAGGACCTCACAAGGACTCCCTGCGAGCTCAACGCAAAGTACCGCTGTCGCACCCACATAACACAATGCTCCCCGTTGGTCGTGAGACTCTTTTGTGCAGGTCTCCCTCCACCAGTGTGCCACAATCTCTGTCGCGTCTGACGTATAGCCGTCTTCTGTTGACTCTGCAGATTTCCTGCTGCTATCCGTCGTCGCGCCCGGAGCCTCTTGAGTCAGGATCGACGTCGCCCACACTTGCACCGAGTTTCCGAAAGCGGATGAGATCCTTCCGCGTGCTCATAGCTCATATTAGTTCCTACTGCAGTGCTGAGGAGTTGGTTTCCCCACTCAAGGGAGACTGGAGTGGGACTAGGGCCTGTCGCTACTGCGCACATCATCCCTTTGCCATGGCTACGCGGCCTAGAACGCTCGTCTGCAACCACGCCTAGGCCCGCATGTTTAATCGTTTCGCATCCTTACTGCTAAGACGGGTGGGCTCCCTACTGCTCTTGTCCGCCGACTTGGGCCGGCCTCGTTCATACGCAGGGCAGCCCCGAGCATAGTGTCCCATACCGCCACAATTCTTCCATATTCTTCCGGACGTTTGGTACGCTCTCCCTTGATGGGGCAGGCACGTGCCGGATGTCCCCGACCCTGACACTCATAGCAGTTCGCGTGGGTTCCCCCAGGTTGATTTTCGATTTCCTGTCTCCAACAGGGTCCACTGGCTTGGATAGAAGCCCTAATGGCTTGACTTGTCCTTTCTCGGAGTTCCATCACACTCTGCTTGGGCTTGTAGAGGCGTGCTGCGGCTGTCGCCGCTTGTTCCCACGACTGATATTTCACCTGTCCGTTTTCGGCTATTGGAAGACGGAGTTCTGTCGGTAGCCTGGTGCAGTAAGAGTCAGCGAGTTCCTTGGGGGCAACACCCAAAGCACGCTCCGCTACAGCTGCAAACCGGTCCGTGTGTTCCTTCGGGTTGCCACTCAACCGTACTTTAGTCAACTCCGTTAACAATTGACTCTGCGACACTGTTTTGTCGAACCGCTCCAAAAGTCTGTGCTGTACTGTCGCCCAGTCGCTTAGGTCAATAGTTCTCCGTGGATAAACGTTGGGCCCGATTCTACGGTTCCCCCTATAACAGTTCTTATCACACTCATAGCGGACTGGAATTGGTCCCACCTGACGAAGGGACTGGCCCCCGGCATAACATTTGTCATCGGTATCACTTGCGGAGGGGCCTTCTTATGCCCATGCGGTCGCTCTGCCACGGTGGGTTTCGGAGTAGCACACTCATAGTGGACTAAGTTTGGTCCCACGTGACGAAGGGACTGTCCCCCGGCATAACATTGGTCATTGGTATCACTTGCGTAGGCGCCTCCTTATGCTCGTGCGGTCGCTCTGCCACGGTGGATTTCGGGCGTGACGAGTATGGGCCAGTGTCCCACTCGGCATTTTGCTTACTAACATTGTAGAAGCCTCCTGCTGTGTGGGGCCGATAACGTGTCCGTTGCGGAGATGCATCCCTTACTAAGCGAAGATATCTAGGGGGGATTCATTAGAACATAGTATTTCTGCTCCCGTAAAGAACAAAGATTTCATTCCCGGAACAGCCCCCAAGTGTAGTGCACATCACCTAACTTCGCTGCTACCTGCCCCCTGGAGCAGGGGCCATTGATCAGCGCCTAACGTCGGCCCATTTCCTTGAAAGAGTAGCCCAAATATAACGGAATACAGTTATTTTCAGCTTTCCAAAATCTCTAATCTTACGAATCCCCCCCACTCGGTGTTCTGGCCTCCTACGCCCTGTGGGGAGGAGCCCAGCACTGGTGCCGGCGCTATCGCCAGCCCCAGTCTGCACGTATTTACAGGCACCTCTAGTGTATGCATGTTAAATCGCAGACAAATTGCCTTACGTTGATTCTAGTAAGAGGGTCCTGTCCTCCTCCAATGTTACGACCTCTTGTAGGCGACTAGCTGGCTATCTCCTATATTTGCAAATAAACATTTTTATTTGCACGCATAAGCATATTTACATTTGCAGGAATGTTCATTTGCATGCAGCCCGGAACTCGACACTTGTGAACATTGAGAAAGTCCTCAGCTTATTAGGAGGAGGCTTTTTCATGTCGAAGGCAGTCGCATGTTTGGGGCTTCTAGCTGTTGCATGCGGCCTCCTAGCAGCGGCTGCAGCAGCAGAAGAAGAAATCAGCTGCACATAGTCCGACGAAAGCTCCATCTCCAGCAGCAGCAGCAATAAAGCCAGGAACAGACAGCGCAGAAAGAAGGCGCCGCCCAGCAGCAGCAGCAGTGAGGAGGAAGAGGAAAGCAGCAGCGAAGAAGAGAGCAGCAGCAGCAACTGCGCCAGCGCCAGCGCCAGCGGCAGTGAACGCAGTGGTGGCAGCGAGCAGAGCAGCAGCTACACGAAATCTGGCAGCCCAATAGAGCCAACTGCAGCAAAGCAGTGGCAGCAGCAGCAGCAACTAGCTCACGGTAGCGTAGGTACAGCTTCAGACGACTCACAAGAAACAAAGCCTGCCGCAAAGCAGCAGCAGCAGCAGAGCAGCAGCGGCAGCAGCAGCAGCGATGGTAGCAGCGAAGCCAGTGGTAACACTAGCAGCGAAGACAACAGCAGCTGCAGCGGCAGGAGCAGCAGCAGTGGCAGCAGTGGCAGGAGCAGCAGTGCAGAGGGAAGCAGCGGCGAAACAGAGCCATCGGCCGCTCAGTCGCAGCGGGAAACCGGAGCTGACGCAGCAGCAGCAACAGCAGCAACAACAGCAAGAGCAGTAAATAAGTCATCAAGCTCCTTCGCCAGCAGCAGCAGCAGCAGCAACGGCAGCACCTCGCCTGATGGGGAGACACCGCAGCTATCTGTTCGTGCGCAGCAGCAGCTAGCGCCTGTCCGCAGCAGCAGCAGCAGCAGCGGCGGCAGCGGCAGCGGCCGCAGCAGCTCTGAAGGGCCGGCGTGTCAGCAAAGCAGCAGCAGCAGCAGCAGCAGCGAAAGTGCGCAGAGCAGCAGCAACAGCCGCAGCTCATCTGCTGATGAGACAAGCGTGAAAGGGAGCTCGTGAGGCTCCTGCGTGCCTGCTAGGGTTTCGGGTTCAGGATCTAGGATTTAGGGAGACTCATGAGCCGCGACTTCATGAATTGTCTCCCGTAAAAGCCCAAATTTTAAGAAGTTTTGAGTACTTTATTTTGTGCATATTTAACTTGTTTTTGAGGGTTTAGAGTTTAGGGTCCTCTTCTACAATTTTTATTTTTAAATCTTTGTTTTGTTCTTCGCACATCAATTTGTACCTATGAGCATCTGGCTACATGCGCAAATTTGCGCTTTGGGGCTTTTCCAAGAAGCAGCCAGAACGTAAACCCTAAACCCCAGATCTCAAAACCTAAACCCTAGGCCTCAGCATAAGACAAGCCCCGTGAAATAATTAGGTCTTAGATTGATATCGCAGGAAATGATAATCCCTACATCCCTGATTTCCCTTGTAATTCAGACGAAGGATTAAAGCTTCAGGGTTGAGGGTTAAGGGTTTGGGGACTAGGGTTTAGCGGTTTTCTTGTATGCGAGGACTAGAAGACCGTAACTAGTTTAACCACTTCTCCAAGCTCAGGCTTTAGGGCTTAGGGTTTAGAGTTTTAGGGTTTAGGGTATGGCATGAGAAAGTGAGCCGTTGCTGCTCAAGCAGTGAACAATCTATTGATCGCCCCGATTACTGGCTGTCTAATTGATGAAAATGTATATTTTTGAAGTGATGGTAACGTACATTTGAAATTAGCCAAGTTTCAAGAATAATTAAAAGTGCCGTAAAGAAGGAGATCCAGTGGCGCAACAAAGAAGGCTTCCGGTGCTTTGCTGCACCTGCTGTCTTTCCGGGAGGGCAGGCAAGCCGCGTTTTGAAAAGCCAAAACTCTTTCAAGAAGAGTTCTTTGCTTAAAATCAATTTATTATTAAGTGGCGTTCCTAGAGAATAGCCGGGAAGTATCGGCATGGTCTCCAAAGAATCCCTTCTAGTGCAGAACATTTCCACTGCTCGCGATGCCAGCGGCACCAGTGCAGCACAGGGGGGTCTTCCTCAACTTTTATCGGGGGCTTCTTCATGAAATTCCAACAATGATAATTGTGATAAAAAATATAATAAATTTAATTTTGTCAGATGTGTTGTTTTGAGAGATAGACTGCCTCGGCTTTGCATACGAGTCGCCACAGCCCTGCTGGGGCGGCGTGTGCACAGACAGCTCACGGAATTTGCAAGGAAGTAACCCAGCAGCGTTTCAAGAGGAAAGCTGATGAATTTTCTTAATTACTGTCTATGTTTTTGTAACCACACGCTGGACGTGAATCTTCGAGCATTTATACTCAATTATTGACTTAGTTGCTCCGCCGCCCACTTGCGGCACGGTTTCCTGATCTGGTTCTAGGGTGACCGTTCCGAGAAGGAATGTGAAACGCTAGAACGGTTGGCAGAGAAAATAGTGCAAGGGCACTGGTTCAGTGTCGTTGCTTGTTCACAGACAAAATCAGCTTTAGCCTAATGGCTCAATCGTACGCGCTGTGGGAAATTAGGAAACGCATTGGTTCCGCACGGCACCTGTGAGGCCGCCACATGAGCAAGGAAATATTCTGTAAGGGAAAGGGACAATATCTCCGGTCTACAGGATATAGAACATTAATGGAAAGCTGTTACATACAACGTCACTGCCAACAATAAAACTTCCGTGCTTCATGGTAGACCACACGCAGTGAACAAGCACAGAATGATATTGCTAGGTGCTCCACGCTTCTATTTATAGCTGCAGCAGTTGGATGTTTCTTTGAAGAGACCCTGCGCACCGCGGTGAGAGGTATTGTAGATCATTTTAGCCGTGTTTTCCTTTTCCGGTACTTCATGCAAATTTACTTATTGGAGGCGTCCCAGATTACGCAACTAATAGACTGACGAAGCGCTTTCAATTACTGCGTCATTGTAACTATTTATCCCAAGACGACAGATGCCGATTTTTCATCATATCGGTGCCTAGATAGAAATGGTATCATATCGGTGCCTAGATAGAAATGGGATACACTCCCGAAACCTTTGTATGCGTGTCCACTAGCGTTTGGTTTTTAGTGCTGGGTGATGCTTTATTGAGAAGAGTCCCTTAATTGCATTGCTGACACCCTTTTGTGGCTCACTACTCACTGCTTTTTCATTTGTACCTCATCCTTGTTCTATTTCTTCTTGATACTAAGGTTGGCTCCTGCTTTAGTCGCTACTGCCGACCAGTTATCGTAACAGCACTTATGCAGTTCATACATATACTAAACGCAGATAGCAGTAACATCTCCGACATTTGCAACTGAACCTCAAGTCGCCTCCTTTCAGAGATCTTTGAGAAGCACAACGTCCTCCGGTATCAGTAGGGTTGCTGGGTGATTCGCGCTGGAGCTATGACGGCATCTATAACATAGGCCACTGTGGGTCATGATACGTTTACCGAAACGTAAATTCTAGTAATAAGGCACCGACTGCCCTACTGCGTGCAGCCCAAACTTCCTCAGCTGGTAAATTCGAATACCCGCATCCTCCACGCAAGGGATTTCCATTGGGATACTCAAATCATATGGTTGTCAAAGGAAAAATGTATCTACCTGATCGGGCCGTGCCTCGAGGTCCGGAACAGGATTCATTTGGCTGATTCGGCGCGTCTGCTTCCCGAGGGGGCTTGAATTAGCCTGGTGGCTTCGCTTGTGGCGGGTTGTCGCGGCTGCGCCTCAGCCACGGTGGAAGGAAAAGCCAATTCTCTATTGCTGGCCTCTACAGACCTAACGGAACCCATCCTAGTGCTCGTGCACTACATGTGCTGCCTCAAATATGGAACGAAACAATCCTATTGATCAAACTTTTAGGAGAAAACCACCGTACATGTCACGATTCCAAGCAACAAACGAATTGTATCTGCAGAAAGGGCAGCCAAAGAATTCAGGTTTCTTACCTCCCCGTGAACGGCCAAATTTTACAGTTATATCGACACAAAACAGCTGAACACTGTTAAGATCAGTGTAATTACATTTTCGTTATTAACAGGCGCAGGTGACGAAATTCGCTTCCGTCGTTGGATATTAGTGCAAAGGACGGGTGTGTGGAAGCGTCAATGCAACAAGTGGTTACACAGAACATATAAACTGTCGCACTGGAGGTGCACACGTTCATATGTTATATAAAATTCATGCAGAGACGATTACAGAGTACTAATGGCCGAGTTCGTGACATCATCCAGAGTTGATTTACACTTGTCAGTTGGACGTCACGGAGTGATACTGTGCAAGCGGGTAATTGCGAGACTTAGAGCTACGTATGTTACAGATATTGGGCACTTTTTTCTATTTAGGCAACAAAAAATGAACATCAAATAAACAGCGGACCAGATCCTATGTAGCATGCTTGAATGCTGTTCCAATTCCCGGAGTCTACCAGATTGGCACCACAAAAAGCACCCATCCATCAAAATGGGTATCAAAATGTTGCTGCCCATGAAAGACATCCCAAAGAAAATAATTTCAACTGTTACGAGGCCATTGCTGTGGACAGCCGAAGAGCCGCCTGCATTGGTATGCCACTGGTATAACCTCAGCTCCTCAACAGACATCGAGCATGTCCGGAAACAGAGTCGGTCCGTAGAGACCAATTATGCAGGTGTCCAACGTTACACTAGCATGAATTACCTCTAAAAATTAAAGCATTCAGTTGAATTAGTCCATTATTTTCCCTTCACAAAGTCAACTGAAGTGTGGGAAGGCACTCCCACACGAGCAGTTATCTTCATCGTGAATGCCGATTGTGGCCGTGTTCTTCCATCATACTCTCAAAATTAACATCAGAATGTTTGCGTTTCGAACATGGAACTACTCGGTTTTCGCTTTTGCGTTGATGACCGCACTGGCTGCAGCGACAAATTCACAGACAGACCGTTATGTTTCTCCCTTTCATCCCGATGCAGTGACTCCGCATGGTGAGGGCTTTCTGCGCTGTAAGAGTGTTTTTCAGAAAAAGTACACACATAGGCGCTCATCAGAGCTCCTTATCCTTTTCTCCACTCTGGCAGCCGCAGCGTCAATTGCCTTTGTTCTTCTACAATGCTTTAAGGCGCTGAATTCCAGGATGGAAGATAAGGGCGGGCTAACGGGTCGACGACTAGCGAGGGGATCAAGACAGTCCTGCATAGTAAGTTCCTACATCCATACTATGTACGGCGCAATAGGGAGAGAAAGGGGAAGCCGGCGGACACTAGTGTTCTCTACACAGTGACTAGAGGAGTGGCTCATGGCTGTCGGCTTAATCAGCTTGAGTGAATCTATTTGCTCTGCTGTGGTACAGTACTCATTAACTTAGGCATAGAGACGTGCATTTGCTCGTCGTGAACATTGCATCTATGCCTTGAATTGTTAACCCCACTATCTAGCAAGAGCCACGCGCATTTTTGTCATACCACAGCGTTATCTTTGTTCGGCCCTATCTGCCACCGCATTCATAATTTGCATTCAAATTACATGGCCTAGGTAGACATTTCAGCAACACCCCTTTTGTGTTTTAGCGCGGCTATCAGCTGAACAAGTCAGGGCTTCTTGCCATATTCACCAACTTCCAGTGCGTCAACTGAGTGGGAGACCTGCGAGCTTTTAGTGGATCTTCTGCCTAAATGCATTTAACACAAGCAAAGATCGTCTCACTCCTTTTCCTGGCACACTGCTGAATTTTCTTGATAAAGGAATCTCCTGTTAAATGCCAGCAGTTTAGGGGCATTACGACTACGCTCGCGCGATGCATGAGCATGGCCTCGTTACTTCGCCATTAATAGTGAAAGGAGCGCACAATTTGTAATTTCCTGATGGCCAAGTAAGTTTGCAGGGCGAAGCTTTCGACTCATACACGCGGAAACTCTAAACCAAATGTGAAAACTAACACCGCGTAATCTCGGACTGGGATAAATTCTTTTGCACTAGCCCGATAAAACGGGGCTACTTGTGCAATGGTGGGAGACTTGGCATGAGTTGTCACACAATGACATATGAGGATTCATGGATGGCTTC